ACTTCGTTAAGTGTCCCAGAGCTCTTGGCCAGAAGTTTGGGCAATTTTCAAAGCTTCGTAACTCAATCGTTTATTCATCAAATTCGACCCATAATATATCAAAATGAAGATAGAAAAGTGTAGAATAAGATTATACCTATTTTGAAGCCCAATGGTTGCCAGAGATTGCCGGAAAATAGCCTCAAAGTTGACTGGTCCGAGTGAAAACTTGAAAACTCGCCGGAAACTGGGTAAACTTTAAACGTTCATAACTTCTTCGATACTCAACGAAATCAAGTGATTCAAAAACAAAAATCATACTTCTATATGAGACAAAGATAATGGTACTTTTTAGACGGCTAACTAGCCGTGGTTTGGCCGGAAAACGGCTCGAAACTATCTTGGTCTCGAGTTAGCCACTTTCGAGCCGTTTTCCGGCCAAACCACGGCTAGTTAGCTGTCTAAAAAGGTACCATTCTCTTTGTCTCATATAGAAGTATGATTTTTGTTTTTGAATCACTTGATTTCGTTGAGTATCGAATAAGTTATGAACGTTTAAAGTTTACCCAGTTTCCGGCGAGTTTTCAAGTTTTCACTCGGACCAGTCAACTTTGAGGCTATTTTCCGGCAATCTCCGACAACCATTGGGCTTCGAAATAGGTATAATCTTATTCTACACTTTTCTATCTTCATTTTGATATATTATGGGTCGAATTTGGTGAAGAAACGATTGAGTTACGAAGTTTTGAAAATTGCCCAAACTTCTGGCCAAGAGCTCCGAGACACTTAACGGAGTTTTTAATGGAATGACCAAAATGATGGATGATGGACAATCTCAGGGACCACTTTTATCGATTTGGAATCTCAGGGACCAAAGTGATGAATTATGCAAATCTCAAGGACCATTTTAACGATTTACCCATATTTTAATTTATCTACATTCACCTCTCCCAGACCCTGCGTAAAGCGGGAGCCTTGTGCACTGGGTACGACCTTATGATTATATGATTAGTTAAACATTGCCACTTCAACGTCTCTATTACAAGTCAGTCATTTCTCTGTAAGTATCGTCTACGCAGAAAAATTTGGTGGACATTTGAAGAGACAAATGGCAAATGCCCTTCTTGGTAAGTTTTCTGTTGTGATGTGCCCTAGGCCAGTTGGCCTCTTGCGTAGAAATCATGAATGCATGCAGGCCAATTGTCAATAAGTCAAGTGGCCGTGGCATAGATGTAGCACCACTTCCACCACCTCAGCCTCTCAGTCTTAGGCCACCCAATCTTTCCATTACCCTGCAATGGAAGACACCAAACTCACACCAAATTTCCATTGTCAACATCGGAATAATTATATCGAACCAAATTTCCAACGTCAACGTTGGAATAATTATATCGGATTAAGTTAACGCCACATTCCTGAAAAATGGGAACCTGTAATTATAAATTTCATCCAACACATACAAATAAAACGAGGCATGTTTTTACTGCTAGAAGGTAATTTGGTCGGACGAATTCGTGGGACGGGATAATGGAGGATGATGAGTTGAGATGGGATGGGACTGGACTATGTTTTGTGGGACTGGACTATTATAGTGAGGGTTACCCTGTATGCCCTAACCCTAAAGAAGGAGCAGAGCTGGGGACACGTGCGAGGGGCGGGCAGGAGGCCGGCATGAACCACAAGACACGCTTATGTGCCCTGCGCGCGCACCAAATATTTTTGGAAGTTTTAACGAAATATTTCCGGTGCTGTTTATTTTTAACGAAAAATTATATTTTTACATTTTCTTAGTACTATTCACTGCACCTTTATTTGTTTTTTTTCATTAAAACTAAAGTTTTTTTTTGGACTTTTCGTTAGTTTTCCTAATATTTTTTTACTCAAATATATTATTTAAGCAAAAGAGAGATTTGTCCCGAATGTGTAGTGTAACATCAGGTATCATTATATAATCAGAGAAACATTTAAAAAAAAAATCTTTCAATTGTATGGTGACATATGTTGTTCCGCATCGTGTCTTGGTACATTGAAGAATCTCTCCAAACAAAGAGCCAAAGGAGAATGGTATTTATACTTGACACTATTCGATTCTAATATATGATATACTTAATTGATAACTAACATTTATTTATTTTTTGTTATAATATGGTTTGCTTGCAATTTGCCTAATCATGTGGGATTGGGGTGTGGACGTGGGACGCTCATATCCACCGAAAACATTGACATACGATTTAGAGAAATATGAATATATGGAATTTCGACGGCTTAATTAAACTGAGTTCTTGTGTTGCATATATAATGTATAATTAAGAGCTCATTTGGATATGTTTTTAAAATGATTGAAATCACTTTTGGTGAAAATATTTTTGAAACCAATCCTTAGTAAAAATACAAGCAAATTCTGGAAAAGCACTTAAAGTGCTTCCTGGAAGAAGTACATAACTGGTGCTTCTTGTAGAAAGCACTTTAAGTGCTTTTGGAACAGAAGAATATTTTCTCTATTTTAAAAGCGCATCCAAACGAGTCATAACTTAACTAATTTGATTAACGAATACATGCATGGGACATCACTCATTAATCGCGGATTGCAATGAATCACAGTTAATTGATTCTGAATCTCTAATTACGTTCGTATACGATTAGTATAAGAATTACTCACCACTTATAAACTTAATTGACCATTTATGTATTGAGGTGGGCATTACATAATGAAGATCATGGCAACGTTGTGGAGTTAGTTTAGTGGCTTGTGCCGTGAAACCAACCCAAACAACATCAGAAATTGCGATTTGACAGTGATACTGTTTCAGTTGAATATTATTGCATATACAAAATGCCAACTATTTGTAGACATGCAACATGAAACAAAGATAAATAAATGACAAACCAGTTAGTTCATTGTTCAATGTTAAAAAAAAAAAAAATGAAACAAGATAACGATCATACAACTGTGCACTATATCTAATGAGAAATGTTAAAGAGACTCTCTTTTGATATACAATGACATATGTATTCAACGTATTTTCATATTAGTTAATGCCACTAAATATTAATTAAGATTCACAAACATTGATGAAAGTTGAGTGAAACTTGGAGATTTTGCCTCATGGCCTACCCCAAGAGCGAGTATGTTTTTGCTCACCCCCTAGCTCAAGGTAATTGTCATCCTTCCCATCCAGAATCACGTTGGCAAGTGAGAGGTCTTATATTTGATTCTTACCAAAGACGAATTTAAACTACATTATTGCTAGCCTATTGTGAGGCTAAGCCCACCCCCTCCCCATAGTTTAGATAATATTGATTGTTCAAAAAAAGAATCATGTTATGTGTCTAAGAATTGAGATCATCTCCAAATTTCTATGTCTGCAGTCGATGGACCTGGGAATCCAGGCTGTTCAAGAGAGAAAGAGATCTAGGCCGTTCAAAAGCTAGGTTTGTGTGAGGTGTGCTAGTGAAATGAGCTAATGTGGTCGTATAATTTAAATTGAGTGGTCCGGATTTTAGGATCTATCGGCTTTGGACTAAGAGATTCGGGGATGATCTCAATTCCATATCTAAACACCAACCATAGTAAGCCTTTCTATTTAATTTAAAACTTATGAGAAACAATAATAATTGAATTAATTAAGCAAAAGAGCTTACCATTTTCACTTCTTTATTAATCATCATTAATTCATAACTGATTGCAATCATTATTTTCCCTTTCTCCTCTTCAAATCATTATTTCCCCTTCCCTTCTTCAATCTTCCCATAATTTGTCGCCCCCCTTTCTTTGAAGGAGCATTAGGACCATAAGGGTTTAGAGTGTTAAGAGGCTTGTCTGTGGCGGCCCGTCGGTTGGGTTGGGGACGGTAAGTTTTAAGAAACGAATACTGGTGGGTTGGTAATTGTCGTTGCAATCAATTACGAATTGAATCAATTTTTTGAATCGATGGGGTATAGATGAAGAAATAAATGTATAGATGAAGAAATAAATGTTAAGTTTTATGTTAATTCACTCAAAGTTAGTGATTGATTTCGTCAAGGGCTCTTGTAATATTCTATGGCGATTAAAAATATCACTGAAGACAGACATCAAATGGTTGGCGGCTTTTTTTGGATACAATTTCTTGGACTCACGTTTTCATAGAGGCAATTTTTTTTTGCAAATGGGATTACTAATACTGGGTTCTATTTCAGTAATTTTCATGCAATGGATGGATCACTACTTTCCACGGCCAAAAATACCTATTTATTTGAGGGTAATGTTAAAGAGATTAAATTTGTAGAAAATTTGTAGACTAAATTTCAAACTAAATTATATGCTACTAATAAGAAATAAGTACGTTAATCAACACTTAAGTAATAATCTAATCATCAACTTCCATGTTATTTAATTTACCAATTATTTGATTGTCCGGAAACAATTTGTAATTGTGATCACTCTATTTAATATGTTTTTATTTTTCCAAAAAAAAACACGCGACCAAAATTTAGAGAAATGAGTTAACGGTTACTTTGAGTTAGAACGAGAAAAAAGGACTCCTCGATAACCAAATAAAAAAAAAAACAAAAATGGGATTCTAACGTGTGCCACTCTTAAATAACTAAATATCATTCGTAACTCAAAATAAAAGATGCAGATCCAGATTCCACATCATTAACCGTTTTCACTAAGCAAGAATTAAAAAGTCAAATAAATAACCATTAATTCGTGGGCACCAGCTAAAAAGAAAGTTACAAAAACTTGGCGAAAGAGATTGACCAAAACGGTGCGTTTGGCAAAATTTACCCGCGTTCTGAGGCGACAGGGACAAACCGTTAGTAAAAGTCGAAAGACCAGACAGTGGTCCAACGTTGACTGCGACCCAATTGGTTCAGTTGGTCCGCTCCACAAACCTCGGAGTTGGAGTCCATGATGATTTTTTGACCTTTCTACCGTTTGCCGGTCCTCAAATCAACCACCCCCCTGCGCATTTTAACACGGTAACACGTCATCAGCCGCGCAAAGTTGGAGGTCGTTGCTAAAGTGCGCGGGTGTAGTTGGTTCATTGGATTCAAAGAGTCAGAGCCCCCGCGATCAAGCCATCCTCCAACTCTGCATTTTTCGAAAACTTCCTTTTTAAGTACCCCTTTTTAGAGAGAGAGAGTGAATTTCGTAAGCCACAGAGATTAGAGAGAGAGAGAGAGAGATTACAGAGAGGTTAGAGAGAGAGAAAGAGGAGGGAAAGCTGTGTGAGTGTGTTGAGTGGTACTTTTTGGAGTTGCAGGTTTTTGGAGTATTGTGTCGTGGGGTGTCTGGTTCCGGGGAGTGTTTAAATGGGTTGGTTTTTAAATTTCTGAATTATTATAGTTTATTTGTTTCCTTAGCGAGAGAGGTCAAGAACAGGAAATCCTAAGATTCTAAGATCTTCTTTCTGTATACATATATATACACACATATAACCTCCACTTCTCCTCCCTCTCTCCTCCCCCCTCTCTCTCTCTAGCCTTTGTTCTTCCTCTGTCTTGAGACAACCGAGAAGAAAGGAACAAGCTTTTTGGTGTTGGAGATCAGGAGATTACCAATCCTCAGCAAATCGACATGGGTATGTGCTGTTTTTAACGTTTTGGTTCTCGCGTGTTCCGTTCTTTGATTTTTGTTGTCTGCCTGCTTCCGGGTTGCTTCGTGGTTTTTATTTTCCAGTGTTGGGGCGATGGTTTTCTGAGAACTTTCTAATTTTTTTAAATTTCTCTTATATTTCCTGGAATTTACTAGTATCTTCCCCCGATTGGTTACAATGGTTCTGTTCATCTCTCCGATTGGTTTTTTTTTTTTTTTTTTTAAATTCTGTCTAACCTTTGTGTCAAATTTTATTTTTGATTATTTTTGGGTGGCTTTCTGCAGAAGTTAACATGAGCTTTTCACATGACATGGACGATGAGTACGAGAAACTCATCCGGAGAATGAACCCACCAAGGTATATGCCAAACATACCTTAAATTCCTCAAAAGTTACTGCAATTATTTACCCTAACCCGTCTTGAGATTTACGCCTCTTCATCCGATGTTGTTTTGTCTCAGGGTTGTAATCGATAACGAAGCCTGCAAGAATGCAACGGTGATAAGGGTATGTCCTTGTTGTTATGTGTCTTTTTTGGTGTTCTTATTGGTACGGAAGTTTTGGTGCTTAATCTGTTACTGTGGTTGCAGGTGGATAGTGCAAACAAACATGGAATACTTCTGGAAGTTGTACAAGTACTTACTGATCTCGACCTTATCGTGACGAAAGCGTACATATCTTCGGATGGTGGCTGGTTCATGGATGGTAAAAGTCCTTTTATTACAGACTTTGTTAGTGTTGTGAAAATCCTGTCCCTTTTTGCTCGATTTAGAAACTGATTCTGTGATTTGGCCTTGAAATCAGTTTTTAATGTCACTGATCAAGATGGAAACAAGGTTACAGATGAAGAGGTTTTGGAGTATATTCATAAGGTAATTTGTGTTGATATTTGTTTCCGCTGTTTCTGCAGCGACTGATGTGAAAAGATACTAATTTCTCGCTTGATTTTCAGTCTCTTGGTCCGGAGGCATGCTTTGCATCTTCGATGAGATCTGTTGGTGTGAAACAATCAATGGACAGTACCGTAATTGAGCTCACTGGAAGTGACAGACCGGGATTACTCTCCGAAGTGAGCGCTGTCCTAACCAATCTCAAGTGCAACGTAGTGAGCGCGGAAGTCTGGACGCACAACACTAGGGCTGCATCCGTGATGCGCGTCACCGATGAGGAGACGGGATTGGCAATTACCGACTCTCAGAGGTTAGCTAGGATTAAGGAATTACTATGCAATGTGCTAAAGGGCAGCAACAAAGCCAGAGGAGCAAGGACTGTTGTCTCTCACGCTGTTACGCACACTGATAGGAGGCTTCACCAAATGATGTTTGCAGATAGGGATTACGAACGAGTTGATGATGATGTCTTGGATGACAAGCAAAGACCGGATGTGAGTGTTGTTAATTTACTTGACAAAGACTACTCAGTGGTCACTATTCGGAGCAAAGACAGGCCAAAGCTTCTCTTCGACACAGTTTGCACTTTGACAGACATGCAATATGTGGTTTTTCATGCTAGTATTGATGCTGAGGGTCCGGAAGCTTATCAGGTTTGCGAGTTTTGCTTTTTCAACTTGAATATGATCGTGTTTTTGGGACGTGCAGTGAGACTATCCTTAAGTAACTTGCCTAATTACTTTTTTTTGGATTCGTGTGTAGGAATACTATATCAGACACGTAGATGGATCCCCAGTGAAATCAGATGCAGAGAGACAAAGAGTGATACAATGCCTCGAAGCGGCTATTGAGAGAAGAGTATCTGAGGTTAGTTGGACTATGTTCTTGCAAATTTTTTGCTTGTCTCAAGTCTCTTTGGCTTCAGAGTACACATTTGAGATTATTAATATCTCCAATTCATGAGGAGGAGTGAGAAATTTTGATTTTCCTATGTTGTAACCTAGTCATTGTCATCGTATAATTTCGAGTCAAATTGTAGTTTTAAATCCATGGATGTCGACCCTTTTGTCTCATTATGTTCCATTGCACTCCTCTGTTTGATTCTGTCTCGTTTTTCTTGAGAGACTCCATTGAATTATGGACAACTAATCTGTGTTTCTTCCTTGTTCAGGACTTGAAGCTAGAACTCTGCACTACTGACAGAGTAGGGCTGCTATCTGATGTCACTCGGATCTTTCGAGAGAACAGCCTCACCGTAACAAGAGCAGAAGTTGCAACGAAAGCAGGCAAAGCTGTGAATACATTTTATGTTCGCGATGCATCAGGCTATCCGGTTGACTCCAAGACCATAGAGTCCATCCGGCAAGCAATCGGGCAGACCATACTCAAAGTAAAAGGCAACACTGAAGACACAAAACCTGGTTCTGAGGAATCTCCAACAAGGTTCCTCTTTGGCGGTCTCTTCAAGTCCAGATCTTTCGTCAACTTCAAGCTGATCAGATCGTATTCTTGAGACATCGGTTAGATCTTGTACATAAGAACCCGTCTTAGTCGAAAACTTCACCAAACTAGACCATTTTAGTGGTTTAATTATTCACTTGAGTTTAGGAAAACAAAAGCAGCCATTATTGAAGGAAAAGCCATAGAAGTGTGAAGTGCTTGCATATATCTCCCCTTTTCAGCTTCTGCTTTTAGCCTTCATTTGTTACTGTGATCCAACCTTGGGTTGGATCATGAAAGCAAGGAAGGATCGTCTGGTTTGTGTAATGTTCAGAGAAAGTCAGTTCTAGGGTTTTAAGCTTTGTACATAATATTTCTCTATTCAAAGTTTATGGTAGCTTTTTTATTTATCATCAACTTCCATTTTATTGAGTTTTTTTTTTTTTTTTTATACTACCACTAATCTAAACTACTCTAACCATGAATAGAGAATTTTGAGTTTTAATGCAATCGGACGGTTACATTGCTGCCAAAAAATTGTCTTTATTCACATCAGCTAAATTTTCTCTGGTTGGTGGCAAAGTTTTCATTCAAAGTTTGGTTTTGAGGGTGCCAAACATTGACCTATAAATTCCCACTTGGGCAGGGGAGAATTTTGTATCTTATGGTAGCTTTTATACTTACCATCAACTTCTAATTTATTGGGTTTTGTTTTTATAATATCGTCAATCTAAATTACTCTAATCTATGAAAAGAGAATTTTAAATTTTGATGCAAGGGGACGGATACACTAGCTAAGAAACTGTTATTCACGTCAGCTACATTTTCTCTGGTTGGTGACAAAAGTTTTCATTCAAAGTTTGGTTTTGAGGGTGCCAAACAAACATTGACCTCTGAATTCCCAATTGGATAAGAGTTTCCCAACTTAGTTTATGCATTCAATCATTATCAGATGAAGACAGAAACTCATTCAAACTTACGGGATTTGAATCTTTGGTGGTAAAACTTTCCAGACAATTCCAAGAATTTGGGGTGGAATTGAAACAATTAGGTTGGGACTTTCTTCACGTCTGCATTAGGCATTGGTTTGAACCCATTTTTTGGTTGGAACTTGGAATTTTCGCAGTCCAATTTTTTTAACATTCCCTCTTGACCAAATGCTGAGCTGAGGAAGAAGGAAGGATGTGATGAAAGCACAAAGCATCCCCCCAAAAAAAAGCCAAAATATATGGAAAAAGGAAAAAAAGGAGGAGGAAATGCACCATCTTTTGAAGTTTTGTAGGCTACTTTCTAAAGCTAATTTAAAAAATATTGTATAATTTTGGTCGTTGTCTTTGGAAAAAGAATCCGACGATTGATGATACGATATATGATGAATGATCACGATCACGAATTCTAGGATCCCTAGAAAAAGGATTGGATCAAGGATCCATTTTCGTTGTCATTGTGATAGGAGCCAACATTATTGGCTGGTGCGCAGTAATCATGCAGGGTGCAGCCACTTGGCTGATCAAGGAGAAATCCAGGTCTGACAAGTAATCTTGTTGACCAAAAAAAGATGGATAAGTAAAATGCAAAAGTAGTAGGATATTGGAATTGGAGCGAGAGGAAGATTTTTTATAAATTCTCTATCATTTTATTATTTTTGGTAAAATTTCTACTAATATTATAAAATATTATAATAAAAACATGAAATAATAGAGAGTTCATGAAAAGTTTTATTTTGAAAGAATCTCCTTAATACTTCTCTTGGTATTTTATTAAGAAATGATGTATATAGTTGTGTTTGATTGTGGCCAATTTGTTTTTGTTGACTGCCTTTGGTTGTCATTGTCAATCTAATTCATGGTATGATGTAAGGTACTGCGCATTTACTTGATTGATTTTGGTTATATAATACAAAATGTGAAAATGAGACAATACTAGAAATTATAATTTTATTTTGGAACACAATTGACTTGCATTGTATAAATAGTATATCTGGTTTTAGTAAGCTAGTTTTTAGTGAAAAAAAATTATATCCACAAGCTCTTAACAATTAGTATAAGAGTCTAGTTTGACCATGCAACTCGACCCAAACTACATGAAGGGAGCGGCTTGTATACTGGATTAAGAGAGTTTATATTATGTGCGACTGAACATATTAGCGAGTCACAAAATGATCATCACTGAACTAGTGTCGATAGAGTAAACTAACGAGATAAGCCTTTTTTCGAGAGCAATTTCTACCTACGAGCTCTTAATTAAATCATATTTTGAGCTATGATTTGGATGAATTTGGGATCACGGGAAAGTAAATACACTTGCTTTGCTTTCCAAAATATGCACACGATATGGAAGTCAGAACAAAGCATACAAGTATTAAGTGCCATGCTGCATTCTGCAGCACAGCACAGCACTGCAATTATTCAAATTTCCTCTCCATGCTATATATGCTCCCCATATTTAATTGACCAATGCGCTTCTCTGTTTCTTCAAGTCTAACACTCCCCTCCATTTCCATTTTCTTTATATGTTTTTAACTCTGATATATTTCATATATATACATGCGTCCTGCAAGACAAAGAAACACCAATTTTCAAAGAAACAGATGCCCTACTGCTTCTTCTGTCTTATATGCTTGGACCGGTCAACAGGCTACTTCCCTAACATGTCGACTTTGTTTGCAAGTTGTTATCTCCCTTTAAAAAATATCAGTATCCACGTTGATTAAACCGGTACGATTTTTTTATGCATCGAGTTTGAATTACTCTTTGATTAGTTTATATATATTACAGTAAAATAATTGTCGTGTAAAAAAAAAAGCGGATTTTTTATGACAGAAAAAGACCATAAACCCTAGGTTAATTTGATCAGCTAGGTTGGCATGACGATCATTGTAAAATTATGACCATAAAAAACTAGATAAAATATGAATTTAACAGTGATTGCTTGAACCACAAATCGATGGTGAAATTCATCTGCAAACCTTGAGATATTATTTTAAATATTTTGTTAAAATAAAAATTAATAAAAACCCAGATCACACTACCCAATATGTTTTAATATTCATTACAGTATCATGTGCCTCTGAAATTTCTGTCACTGAAAACCATGGGCTTTTGAAGGTGTGCAGTTATTCCTCCTCACATGACAGAAAGTGGGCATTGCATGATCTGGGCAAATTCCAAGTTTTCTTAGAACCAAAGCAACCAAGCAAAACCTGCCGTCACATGAATGCCCCAGTCTCGTTTCATATTTTATTACGTGCAGCATTCAACAATGCAGCAACTTTGGTGCTAATTCTGCACAACTGCACATGATGTCCCATTCTCTAGCATTATTTAGCGGTTTTGGATCCCATCATGATTCAAATTGTGGAGATTCTAGGGATCCTCACATCTTAGTCATTTATCGTACATTGTGCGGTAAAAATAATTTGAATTTTATTATTTAAAATAAAACACAAATAGTAACTAACGAAAACTAGTCGCACGATATATGATGAATGATTAGAATGTAAGGATCTCTAGAATCCTCATAAAGAAGATCCGAAGACGATCCTCATCCATATTTAGCTACTAGTTGTGGGCCCTCACTGGAAATTAGATGGACAAATCCTCGTCCGCCAAACGGCACAAACCCTAGTTTTTTATGTTTAAGGGTTCAAAAAGAGATGGAAGAGTGGCTCACTACTAATCAACATCATCGATACCATCTATTTCTACATCGGTTAGTGATGAATTTCGTTCAAGTCCAAACACTTATATGAATACAACTAATAGATAGAGACCCATTTGAGCTCAATCAACGCGTCCCAAGTAGCACGTTAAAGATTTCAGAGAAACGGATCAACAATTCACTACTAATCAACGCTTTCATCGTCCCTAACCTGTATTAAACACTTAATAGCACACATGTAGAGTTTAGTCACAAAATTCTTCTTTATATATAGCAGTGACTATTCGTTATGTAAAAATAGTACTCCCTTACTTTTTTAGAGTCAAGTTTTCATGCAGGATTCTTACATTCTTTAATATCTTTTCTATTTTCTAAAGTTCAATGCCTTTGTCCATAATTATTGAGTCTACCGACATTTAGTCTCCATTATATTATAACAGATTAGCTCATTATTCATGAATGACAATTGTTGAACATAAAAAAAGTCCCCCGTAGCTGGTTAACGATAACCTTATAAGATGTGGCATGATTCATACCTAAATTAAATAATGCTTACGATCTCTTTCGAAGTTTTATATAGGGAGATCCAAATGACTTAGAAATAGAGGCAAGTAAAACACAATGGGGGATACTGCTGGTCCAGAGTTTCCTGGCTTCCAAACTTGTGCTCACAAAGATGACAACAATGTGTTCAGAAGGCATTTGAGCCGGCTGCAACGACGTGCTCCATGTCCTCTACAGCTGAACCCTAATAAAAATGCCTCTTCTGGTTGCAGTGGTATGCAAAACTCCGCGGCGAGCAGTTCAAATTCTTCTTCTTCTTCTTCGTTGAGTTCGTTCTATCAGAGCAAAGATCCCATTCCCCTACTTTCTCCTCTGGTGTTGTTGCCTTGATTGGTGCCAGAAAAAATTGCTGAATTTTAGAAGGTTTATGTACTTTGGCAAAATGTTATCTCCTATATACGAGGCTTTGTAAATTTGAGTACATTTTATATCTACGGTAATGTGGGAACGATTTCACCATTCACATATGAGAATGCAATGTGTTGGGAAAAGCGAAGCATAACAAATCAGACTTCTAGGAATTTTGTTGTTAACTTGTTGATGCGTGTTAAATTAACTAAATTGTGATCTAAAGAAAAATATTTGTAGCTTATTAATTAAGAGTATTTTTTTGTTTGCGATTAGAGTGTTGGTTTCAAGCCACGCCCTCTCTAAATATCGATTTTACAAAGAGAAAATTTAAGTTGTGATTAAGAAATCAAAATATAGTTAGGGAAATTTTATTGGAACCCATTCAATCTCTTTCTACACCTAATACAAAAAATATTTTCTTAAAATTCCTAATTCACCCTTTGATTAAAGCTGAAAAAAAGAAAGAAATAAAACCAAAATCTCTTTCCACACCTAGTGGTTCTCTTCCACCTCAAACCCCATGAAAGATTCACCGGCAATTCTCCATGGCAACTTCAAGTCAAATTCTTTTAGCGTCACAACCGCCTTATATGGCACACCATTTAGTTTCCACAAGTTTTGACTTCGAACTGTCCATACAAGATAAATAATCCCTCTTCGGCTCAACGCCTTCCTCGTCGACGACTCCGCCATCCCTTCTCAGCCATAGACATTTGTGGTTCTCTGCATTATCAAGCAATGTGCTTTGGCTTCTTGCTCTTGATCTTCACGTCTCTGACTGTTTGAATGAGTTGCGGCAAACGTAGCTTCAAGTAGTTGAACGGTAGCAAAAGCACCACACTAATGCCAAA